AGTACAGTTTGCAGTTCATATGAAACTATATTTGTAGACAGATGGATTTGCAACCCTACCTAAAATGCATATTCCAGTAATCACCCTCAGAAGAGCTAGCAGGGCTCAGCAAGACTTAACTGAAGAGTAAGTTGCAACGAACAAAAAGAAAGAAAACACACGTACACACTAAGAGATACATAAACGAGAACCGCTACACATCAAGCATGCTTACCCACAACGGGGCAGTGTTAGAAAATTCACTGGTTTTACCCTCCCCCCCCACCATGGTGCTGGTACAATGAAACAGTAGCATAACTAGAAAGCAGCATGTTTTCCTAGTTCTAACCACTACGGATAGCAGAGCTCAGGTCTAAAATAACACAGTACTGCTTATTTACAATTCTGTTTTAAAAGGGAATATTTAAAACATGTTCCCACCCCTCTCCCTTTGCATCACCTATTACTGAATGGTAGTGGTAATCCACATACAACTCCTTACATGTTTTCAACTGAAACAGTTTAACTTTGAGTTACTATTTGCCTGGTAAAACAAGTGTTAAAGTAACCTACAGCTGTATGACTTAAACATTTTATGCGTTTTACATGGAAAACTGAAAGAAATACTAGTTGACACCTGACATTTGGTTGTTCTACGTTTCTGCCTCGTTTCTCTTTTCACATTTTTTCTTTTAAAAAATGAACGCCCATCTCTCTAAGTGCAAACTTTATAAGGTGCAAAAGAACCCAGAGGTACCATACACTCATCTGGTTTGAAACGGTAATCAAATAGACGATATAGAGCACATCTTTGTAACACGCATAAGAAGAAATTGGCCCAGCTTAATTTAGTTTTTCAATGAAAAAATACAATTGGTTTAGCTGATTCACCTACACTACACCTTTTTTCCCTGTTTACTTACTTCCTCCCCTCCAACATCATTAATTTCTGTCTACAAAGTATTTGAAGATTTTGTGGTCGTGGCAAAACTATCAACACCTACCCAAAAAGATTCACTAAGTTATACAAGAAACTGGCTAGAATGAAAAAAGGTTCAACTGACAAGTCACCCTGCCACTCGGCAAGGCGCTGCCCTTCTTCGCCTGTACCAAACTTCAGCTGCTGTCTGTGCCCACCTATGTTAAACCATGGTGAGAAAGAAGAGGGCACTTCAGCCACAGGCTGAAAATTTTCCAATGCATGTTTGGTGTACACAAGAAAACAAACCCTGATATACATGTAAAGAGCTGATGTATAGTCAAGATTAATACATTACTCAAAGAAAATATTTCTTGGATAGCCCTCACTTGTTTTGGGGAATTTTAAGAGTCCAAGAAATAAAGCTGAAAAATATCTTTCATGTGTATACCTAAAAAAAATAAAACCATAGAAAACCAGTTGGCCACAGACTGCAGCTACTGAGATAACTTCTACATTACATTAGTTTTCTGAGTGCATGATCTGTCCTCTCCTTTCTTAGGGAATTATTAAACAATGTTCAAATGGGATGTAAAATAAGTATGATTGTTTTCTGCAAAGCAAAATGGGCTATGTTTTCATTGCTTAGTAAATTTATCATCTCCATATGAGATATGAATGTATTCATAAGCTTAAAACAACTTCTTCTATGGATAATATACATACTTTAAGTACTTTGACTTAAAAGTTGAACATAAGTCTTTTTAAAATTAAAGGTAGAAGTGTACATATAAAAATTATTTAAAACTAAAAGTATATTCTTAAGCAGTATGTATAAATATAACAGATTTTATTGTAGTATCTAGTAACAAATGTGATAGTGTTGCAGTAATTTATAAACTGAATGCTGACACAGGATACGTGCCTTTCATTAGAGTCTATATTGTATATACATATTTTGCTAAGAAAACACACATTCTAAATGATAGTCACATAATTAGCAAATGTGCCTGAAAGTAATCTGTTCTAAAGTCTTTATTGAACATGTGTGTTTATATACAAATAATGAACCTGAACTGCACAAACGCAGAAACAAAATTAAGGAATAAAATACCATGATTGAATTAAAGTGCAGGAAAAATTCAAGTTTAAAAGTTCAGGTAAGATCAGTGCCATTAATTAAGCAATAAAAAATAAAAGAGCCAACAACGGAAAAGAGAAAAGGCAAACCAAAGGAAAAATAGGAAATGAACTTGCTTCCAAAAATCCTCCTTTGGATGTAGCTTTCCAGCATCACCTGCCTCACAAGTACCACCTCAGGCAAAAATATTTGCATAAAGACAGACAAGGAACACAGCTATCTATTACTATATTTTATATCTGACTGTTTGCTGCAGAACAAATCACTGGCGATGCCTGTGGTGTAACACTTTCAGACATAATTGGAATACACACATATTTACACATACCAGCATTCAAAAGTTACAATTTGGCAGGACTAAGGTGAAAAAAAGCTTCTTCTGTTTACAGTTCCTAATGAGACACACTACATATAAACAGATAGGTAGCAGCAGTTTCTTACACTTCCATCAAAAAATAAAAAAGTAATAGCTCAATTGTATTTCATAGTTTTCCAGACACTCTAAAAAAGTTTTACACAACTAAAATGCGAGCGAAAAAAACAGGGGTGCTTCCCCCCAAGGATTTCAATATATTTTGCTGTACAAAAGGTGCACCACCACCAGCAGAACAAGATGCAATGATGTGTGTATGATCATTTTCCTTCCACACAGAAGGAAAAAGGAACATTTTAGACAAAAATTGTACATAGCCCCTTTTATTGACCAAGAACCATTTGTGGATTCATCTCATGAGCAATCATTAGTTTTCAAATCTAGAAGCATGCTCTGAACGTATGCAACAGAAAAAAGATTCAACTATGATAAATTTTATAATACCAAAAAAGACACTACACTCTTCTTGTACTGGCAGATGGTCTCCCGCCACCTCTTGTTTTTTTGCTTGCTGGTGGTTGTCAAATGTTTCTTGATGAGAAGTATGCTTTCCTTTCAAGCCAAGATCATCGTCCATTGAACTGATAGCACAATTTGCTGAAGAGTACTTTTGCCATCCTCTCCCCCAGAGCATGACCAGACTAATTTTCCAGGATCTGTTGCTCTGAAATATACTTCCTGTTCACCGTGTCAAATAATAATCAGTCATCTCAATTTATATATGTGAGAGAAGGAAGGGAATAAGTGTCAGCTAGGGGGGTTTATTTTTGGAAATGGTATGGAGAGCAGCTTACCTAGCTTTCTTCTACCTGGATTTTTGACAAAATGGAATTTGTTTAAATATGCATTAATTAGACACTAAAAAAAATTACATGCAAAGGCAAAAACTGTGTGGAAAACTGAGTCAAGTAACTGGACTTAACACTGCCTCAGTAGGCAAGGGACAGAGCCATAAGGAAATCATAATGCTGCTTGTTCAAATTGTCACATTCTCATTTGTTCTTTGGACAGTGGACATGGCACGGCATGCCCTCGTACCGAGAACGGAATTCACTTGTCTTTTTTAATTAAGTGTTACTATACATGGAATCAGAAGATCTAATGTGTGCTACAAAGCCCAAACACATTTGCCTTTCATTTGAAAAACTAATTAGGAACCATCAGTTACTTCAATATTTTGCATGTGTTGAGTGTTTTAGAAGGTTGCCTTATCTATGTACCTGCAACATCATTTAACAATACAAATATAACCAAGGTTTTGCTTTGGGAATATTCAGAACATGTGCAAAAAAAATCACAATGGATGTGATGCTTGGTGAAGCAAACCCAAAAGAATAATTTCAGACAATGTAGCTCTATCTGCTTCTAAGTACTCCCTTTCAAAAAACCAAGCCAGTCAGTCACTATTCCTGCTTTGAGGAAAAAAGTCTAAATAAATTTTTGAAATGCAAACATTTATCTTAAGGAATTCTCTCTTTTTAGAAGAGCTCTTGTCATTCACACAATTACAGCTTTAGTGTAGCAGCCATTAACAAGTCAGCTCAGCTATATTATTTACCTCACCCAAACTGAACGTTATTTCACCAATTCCTGAAGTTTCAGTGGACACTTACCACTGCCCACACTGAAAACACTGCTTCAGAGACTAAATCCAAAATTTAGCCAACTGCCTTTAGTATTGGGTGGGGCTGAGATAGGTACTTGAAAATAGCTCTAGTAGCAGGAGTTAGGAATTCTCTAAACAATATACTGACAATTATTAAATATTAGATGCTTGCCAATATTCATGCATCAGCACCTCCACAGAGTGTAAAACTTTGAAAACCTGAGTCCAAGATTATCTGATTTCATAGTAAAGGACTAAAGGGGCATCTAGAACTTGAGTTTGAGCAAAACTATCTCAGCTATTAATGGCTGTAAAGATATATTCTGTTAAACATTTATAAAAATTCACAGCATGAATGGAACCCACAGCCAATTCTAAATGTTATACAAACTGAACCAATAACTATTTTTGGCAAAAAAATAATATTTAACTGAACAGAAGTTGAAGTATTCTTACCACAATGAAGATGTTACCACATTTCACATTGCACAGACATAACACAAATGAAAACTCCCAGCATGACACATTCCAGTCATATTATTCACTTGACTTTTTTAATGCAAAAATTGTTTTTTCTCTTGTTTTGCACTTCACAGAATAGGATGTGAATACAAGAATACTAGATCAGGGGTCCAAGAAAAGACTATGCACAGGTCAACTATGTATACAATTTTCAACAAGACATCTTCCAAGCTTCCAGCTTTCCCGATAAAACAAGTGACAGCGAACTCTTCCTCAACAATAATGGTAAATATAGTGAGTCCTACAGAGGGTAAGTGTAAGTCAGGTACCGTCCAGCAAGACAAACAACTTTATTCCAGCTCTTGGACCCCTGATTTATTGCCTCTCCTCACAGGAGGGTATAACACTGGCAGCAATTACAATAGCACAAAAACTTTTGGCATATGAAATATTAACACAGGATTGACCCTGCATTGCCCCTGCCCATCTCACACTAGATTTTTCCTTTCACCCTCTTTTCCACATGTTCTGGTTACCTTCTCTGATCCAACTCTCAGCTAACCAACAGCTAAGAAACACTCAAGTTTGCTTTTTGTGTGTGTTTCTTTTAAATATAAAGCTCCTCAGTTAATGCCACGACTGAGGTAAAACAGTGTGTGATTTGTGCTAGGAAACAGTATCCAGTGGTGAATACTCCTTTAAATTTCAATGGTCCTGCCAAAATTAATGAAAACCCAAGATTTTTCCATCAGGACAAAATTAAACAGATGTAATTGATGAGCGTCATCAGAATTGGTACCACTTCTTGTCTTTGTACTTCAACATCATCTAAAAGACCAAAAAACAATTTCTAATTACTGTTTCTATAACATACCCAAAAGTACAATAATACAAACAAATCATATGCTTACAAAACAGTGTGAGAAAAGGGACTTTAGTAAGGTGTCTCAAAAGCGCAACAACATCGCTGAACAGCAAGGGTTTAGCATGATGAGTTCTGTAATGGTAGCATCACTGCTGATTATTTGGCCTCAGACAGAATTAATTATATCTCAGTAATGGGAACTGAGATGCACTTTTGCAAGTCTACATGTCACTCAGACAGCGGGTATGCTCTAGACCAATGTGCCACAAGGCAAAGCTATTTTAATTAATACTTAATTATTAGGAGTAATGATTGATAGATAAAAGGGACCTAAGAGGTCCTTTATTGATGTTACTGAATTCCCTTTAGATGCCTCTGACGTGCCTTTGCATAAATCGGTTACTTGCAAAACTTAGATTTATTTCATAAAGAATCAGATTAATGTTCAGTATAACATGTAACAGACTCACCTCATGAGCGTGTTTAGAGAAAGAATCAGCACTGTAAAGCATAGCTGCAGTTTTTTCTTCCAGTTCTCCTAGTTTCTGTCCTCTTTCATCTAGTGCCAACCGGGCTCGTGCTAGTTCACCAACTACACCAGATGCTGCTCCTTTGACACCTTCAATACCCCCAGGCCCTGGAATATGCTGGGCAAGACTCCTTGATGCCTTCCCAGATGCTGATTCTCCAACTAGAGGCATTTGCAAAGCAGCAAAAACAGAATAGTGAGGTTTTCTACCATGAATACACAAATACCAACGTAACTAGTTTATAAAGAGGTGTCATTTCTTTGCATGGACACTGAACACCTAATCATAGGCATGACTACAAGTAATACTCATTACTCAACATTACTAGATGTCATTATTTAATAAAATTAAGATTTTCAAACATATTTCCAAGTTTTCCAGGCAGGTTATAAAATGATAACCTTTCTACAGCTCAAGTGTGAAATTAAAACTCTCTCAACAGCAGTGGCATCAGTCATCAACAGAACTGTGCTGGTGAAGTGGTTTTTAACGACATAGCTGAAATGAACTATCATACAGTTCTATCCTTGTTCTTCCTAAGGCACCTCTGCACAAGTCAAATGAGGAAAAAGAACCTACCAAATGAACTGAAGTAGAATGGAGTTTTAATTTTCTCACTATCCAGATTTGTGTTCTCCAGGACCATCCCCTTTCAGTTTAACAGGGTTAAGAAATATCATGGTCAGTACTATGTATTTCATAAAGACGAATAAAAATAAGATCAATTGTCCCACTTCTTGGTTTATAATCTACTCCTGAATAAATGAGGTAAAGGAGCCTGTGAGGAAACAGTACTAAGCTTTTCTGATCTTTTGGTAAGGTGTACAACACAAAAGCTATGAAAAAAGTATTTGTCATCTCTTTTTTTACTCTCCTCTCTGCAAATGTAGTGTTCTATTAACACAGGTTAATACATTTCTCAAGGATCACTGGCTTCCTTAGGTAGAAATACCAGAAAAATAATGAATACAAGAAACTTACAGAGTTCTTCTCTGTCAAGTGACTGTGCCCCACCTCCAAACAGGCCTTTAAAGAACCCCCGGTTCGGTGCTTCTGGTGTTTCTACAGGAGTGAAGAGCTCACCCAACATTTCCTTTACAATGAAGAGACACAACAAAACGTACATTATTTCACACACAAATTAATGGAATATTCTTTAAGAAGTAAACTTTGTGGATTTGAATTTCAATATTAACATGTTTTAATAGGCATTTGCCTTTGGAAGGCAACTTAGGAAATAAAATATAATAACATATTAAGAAATCTGCCCAAGCTATCCGTCTGCTAGTTGCAAGCTTATAGCTCATGGAATTCTGTAGCAAAGAAACAGGTTCAAGTAAAGCTGTATTTGCCTCTCAACAACTTGGGCAACACTCCTGATTTTGTTCTGTTCACATTATATCTACAAATACTCATACCCCTGTGCAGTATCACAGGAGGCCTTACAGCCTGCATCTCTGCTATTTCAGTATTCTGTACAACTTTCAAGCTGGAGCATGGCTGAGAGTCTTTAATGTTAATACCCCTGAAATATAATAGTTTTCTTCAAGTATCCCAAGATAGCATCATCCAGTTAAGTCAGCATGCACCCCCACCAGCATCAATTGAACAAGCGAGTTTTTGTTAACTGCACATGTTGAGCAAGGAAATTTCCTATTGATCAAAAAGGAAATTAAGAAGCTGTTTGAAACACAAAAGGATAGATGAAACAGTAAATTTAAGAGTAGAAGTGATTCATCCTCAATCAGACTCTACACTGAGCGAAAAATAAAAGCAAAGCTCAAAAGCCAGAGCTTTACAACAAATTAATGTAAACATTGTGAATCCAGAACCAAGAACCTCCAAGTGTATCAAAGAAAACTTTTTTCTTTTTTTAATTCATTACCTGAAGATTTTCACATGTTTCTTGACTGTAGGTAAGCCTCTGTATTTCAGTTGGTGATACAAGATAGAGTGCTTGTCCATTATTGGTGAAGCAGAATGTTCTGGCTATCCGCATATTGGTGAGTGGCAGGTAATATACATCCAACAATGGCCTTAAACTTGGCAAACTTAAGAAAAAGAATTAAAAAGCCTCATTAAATATAGCAGGATTGTCTATTATTTGACCAAATGTCTCATTTTTACACCACAATATGTAATTTTTCTCTTCACTATCTGCATGAGTACCATATAAACAGAATATCATTTAATGCAATTACAAAATCTCAAAACATGAGACTTTCCAAAGTAGCATCCCAAAAGTCAAATTTAAACAAGTGCATCACAGATGCCTTTAAAAGTATCACTTGAAATAATACCCTGAGTGTGTCAGATTAATTTTAAAGCATTATTCAATAGTTAGCAACAAAGTATTTTGATAAATATCTTCCAAAAGTTTATAATTAAACATCCTGCCTTTTCTCTCAGGTGAAGAACTTATCTTTGACTAAAAACACCATTCTAAAAGATTGCTCTTCAAGAACACTTGGAAATACACAGGGCTGTGCTTTCAAAGGAAAACAGAATTCAGTAGCCTCAAAAAAATCTTATTATGTCCACCCTTTTTGTCTGACTCCGTATGTAAGAGGAAGTCCTCAGAGCAAAGTTTGCTTACCTTGTATTTTCTGACTCTGTACATGCAACTGCAGTATTTACTGCACCCAGCTACTGAAGAACAGATATAGCACACTCACGCTTTAACAGTGCTCTTGCTAACAAACATTCCTCTCCCTCAAAGCAATAATAAATGCAAGTAAGAAGTGACTGAATACACGATGTCTTGAAAAACAGAACCCAAAATAAATCACTGTCTCAAAAACAGCCTCTGTGCAATTTTTGTAAAAACATGATTTACAAAAGATGAGTGCAAATGCACCAACACCACATTAAGCAGGTTTTGCTGCAGAAACCATCTCCATTAATATTATGAGTTCTAGAAACCAAAAAAAAAAGGCAGTAAAGGTGCAAAGTGAAGTTGGAAGCAATGAAAAAGTAAGCTGATTGTAAATGCAACAGTAAGTGCTTTTTTTTTAACGATACTGAGATTTCTAAATGTTAAGCTTGCATTTTGCAGATTGTGAATTGCCTCTTAGCAGCAGACTTCATGTATGACAAACAAAAGGAAGGAGAACTGGTAACATGACTAGAGGCATGAAATAAAAAGCAATATTCTCTCATAAGCATGCCACCCAGAAACAACCCTTCTGCCATGCACATGTCAAAAATAAGAGTATTCCCAAGAGTGAGTTAGTAACAGGCAAGTGCTTTGCTTCAGACTGATGGAAACATAGAATATCCTTACAGCTTCAACACAAACCCATTAGATCAGATAGGACAAGAATGACATCCACGATAGCATTTTCATAGTATCAGCCAAATCTGTAAAAAGAATCTTAAGTCCCATCTAACTGTATATCCATAGATAAGTATTGGGTATCTTGGGTATGATACAACCCTCTGCCAGCTTTACACAAAGAGAACATTAAGTCCGATTCCCAGCAGCAATTCATTCTTCCTACAATGTACCTTAAAGATCATCTAGTTCCAACCCCCCTGCCATGGGCAGAGACACCCTCACTAGATGAGGCTGCTCAAAGCCCCATCCAACCTGGCCTTGAAACTTCCAGTGATGGGGCAGCCATAGCTTCTCTGGACAACCTGTTCCAGTGTCTCACCACCCTCATAGTGAAGAGCTTCTTCCTAGTATCTACTCTAAATCTACCCTCTTTCAGCTTAAGGCCATTCCCCCTTGTCCCCCTGTCACTACAAGCCCTTGTAAAAAGACCCTCTCCAGCTTTCTGGTAGGTTCCCTTTAGGTGCTGGAAGGCTGCTCAGGTCTCCCTGGAGCCTTCAGGCTGAACAGGCACAACTCTCTCAGCCTGTCTTCATAGCAGAGGTGCTCCAGCCCTCTGATCATTTTCGTAGCCCTCTTCTGGACTCACTCCAACAGGTCCACATCCTCCTTACACTGGGGACCCCAGAGCTGAACACAGTGCTCCAGGTGGGGTTTCACAAGAGCAGAGTAAAGGGGGAGAATCACCTTCCTTGACTTATTGAACACTCTACTTTTGATGCAGCCCAGGATACGGCTGGCAATACATACTCTTATACTACTATACTACAACTGCTAGCAATTTGCCTTGCCTCTACAGCCTGAGTTTAAGGCCTTTAAGACATGAGCAAGCTACACAACAAAACAGTAAGCTTGAGGCATGAGTGTGATGCAAACAGCTGCACAAAAATATGAGCTGTGATCAGGTACCAGCTGAAAGCCTAATTCAAGACAGTTTTCTCTATCAGGGAATAAATTCACCTTTAAGACAAACTTCTTCAGCTCATAAACCTGTATCACACATTTGGATCTCTCTCTTGAATCAGGGTAGCTTGAGCTAAACTGTTAAGCTTTTTCATGTGTTAAAGGCATAACTAATAGGAATGCATAATCAAAATTGTGCAGACTCAAGTGTTAGAGGTTTAGCAAAACTGAGTGAATGTAGACTTTTTTTTCCTTTTTTAAAATCATATCCTTACGGAGAAGGAAACATTTTATCTAGTGGAAGACTTTTTTTTTTTTTTTTTTTAAATATTTAAGTTAATATCAAACTAGTCTTACCTAAAAGTCATTATATGTCCATTGGCACAGAAACATGCAAGGCAGATACTGTTACTCAATGATACTATATCTCCACGAAGAACAAAAGAAGTCTCTGTTATGTTTTGTTTATAAAGACAGTTCTGGGATGGCAGTGAGATAACTTTTGCTTGCTTTTCTGAACATATCACTGCATATTGGTTTTCACTGATTTCCTGAGAGGAAGAGGGGGACACTGAGACAGGTCGTCGCTTTTTTGATTTATCTTTTTCATCTTTATCTTCAGGAACATTGTGTTCTCTCCAGGGTTCATGTGCTGGTGGGACCAAAGATCCTGTTGTATCCAGAAACGCCATTCTCAAGATTGCCCCTTTTAGCCTCAGGATGGTTCCTAGGAAGAAGAAATCGAGCTCATTTCTAAAAACAGTTCTAAATTACCTTTCAGCTACAGAATATTCCTTTAGAAGCGAGCACAATGAAAACAAGAACATAGGCTTGCCTTTGTAGCAAAACACCACACCAAAACCTTCAGACCAGTGAAGCACATGCAAGAGCATGTAGGTATTCAAGAAAATAAACCAGTTTTCAAAGGTTAAGTGTATGCATACACCTCCATTAACTTTAATGGAAATGTATACATTTATCAAGACTGCCAAGCTGGAGTGCACATTTATTTTCAAGTTCAGTGTCACAAATGCAACTCATTTCACTCTCTGAGGAGGACGCAGCGTGGTTGATGTAAATGTTATTAGTCAAAGGTGAGCCCCTCTTCTTCAGTATAGACAGGCTGAGAAACAAGCAACATATAGGATTTTTTTGCCCTGCAGCTTCTGCCTGAATCTACTTCCCTAGTATAAAATGAAATAAAAGTTTTCTCTCCCTCCTGGTTAAAGCACTGCCTCTGTAGGTGAAATCTTAAGTTAACAAATTTGTTAGTTTACTTGTTCACATGCAAGTAACAACATGAACATTTGCTAAGTGCACAAAAAAATCACACATGGCAGTATCTTCTAATACTTATGCTGCAGATCCAGTGATGAAACATACTATACAGTCTGCAGCACTGCCTTTACTAACAAATTCTGGCAAATCTGAATACTGCTGCCAATACCATACTTGAGAAGCACAAATCACATATATGATCTAGAGGCCACACTACTCCTAATAACTATTTCAATCATATAGCATTACCATTTGCATGTCCTGTTCTGTCTCTGAGAGCAAAGTGGAGCACAGCAGTACATTCTGAATGAGACAGTTGCAGTAGGAAAGCTAAGTCTACGCCTAACAGCATATTCAGCAAACCATTAATACATAATTACAACAAAATCAGTTGTTGTCTATCAGAAAAACAAGACAGAAGACCTCCAACTGCAGTCCAAAGGAATATTTATTCACTAATTAAAGCTAGTTGTTCAATATAAACTTGTATTCCTTTTTTATGACGCAGGAAAGCTTGAAGTTTCCCACCTCATGACTAAAAAAAATAATAGACTGAGCATTTGAAATACTAATCTCTTACTCTATCTCCGTTTAACAATTACTAGGAACTACAATAAGGTCAGCAAAAAAGCTTTTCTCAGCAGGTATACACTAAAGTGATGTTTCATATAATATGAGATCATATTTGCAACTTTAAAACAGTGGTAATTAAGTAACCAATCTAAATTGTTAACCTCAGTAGCTAAATTAATAGTGTATTTATTAATTCTTAATTAATCCATTATTAAGAAAACCAGTTTCTTTACAAAATTATGAGGAACAGCAACAGAACTTAATCAAAGTATCCTTTAGCCCATCCACTTTGTACATACCACTAGGAGAAACAATTACTGGCTGAAGAAGTCTTTGCTCTCCTCCTGGGGGTAAGTTCAGTACAATGACAAGCACTGTACCCAGCGTGGTCCCAACCCACAGGCATGGGGAAGGCGATGTATCATTCTTTCTTGTGAAAGTCTCACAGAAATGAAGAGCTGAAATTGCCTCTCGTGATTCTTTGTCAATGCTAGTTACACTAGAACTCCGGGATCGACTGAAAGAGTTGTCTTTGACATCTGAAAATGAGTTAGCATTAATTAAAAAGAATGGCAATTAAAAAGAATACCTTTCTATTGTCAGTCCTGTATTCTTCCTTAGTCATATTCTCTTCTGGCCCCATTTTTAACATTGCATCCTGAATAAAATGCCCAATTTTTTTGCAGAGGTTGCCATCAGGCAATTGTCATTTTATGTGTATTTTTGTCTTCTTGGGACAGAGAATAACAACCAAACAGGACTCCTCCTTTATAAAAATTGAATTACAAACCTCTCTGCCAATTAGTTCATGGATAACATTAAAAAGTACTGGCTTCCATGGAAGGTGGTATAGTGGTTTAGATGTGGAGATGCAACTATTTTACTTTAAGAAATGCAGCTACATCCAGATAGCAAGATAACATGCAACCTATAATAATAGTGTCCCCTACAATAATACTGTCCCACTCTAGGAAACTGTATGGAGGTAGTCAGGCAGGCTATTTTCACACACCTAAACTTTTTAGTAAGAGAAACATCAAATGCTAGCAAATGACACCTGGCACTAGCATGCAAAACTGAAGATTTCCGTTCTGACTGCTGTACATAGTGCCAGAAATGGCATTAAAACCTTTTAGATCATCCTGCTCACTGCTTAGCAAATAAGGTTCTTGTAACAGAGAATGAATTATAACGTTAACAACAGCTCAAAAACCAGTAAACATGCTGCTCCATTTAGCTGTATGCTCTCTGAACACAAGGTGATCAAATCAGCATGTCTGAATTTATCTGTGCATCCAGGAATTAATCCTTCACTTTCTTCACTTGTCATTCCAAAATTTTAGCATAAGACAACCCTTACTAGTAGAAGTTTGATGCAATTTTTATTACTACTTTGAAAAACTAAATTATTGGTTTGGATCTTTGGGCAGGGTATAAATGCGACTGGCATCTTTAATGCAGGATTAAGGGTTGAAGAACAACATTTATCCACATACTTTCTGGAAGTATCACTATGCTAATTCCACCAGATTGTGGTAAAACTTTGAAGAAAGAACATCTAGTATGCATTTGAAAAGCATACAAATTAGATTTCAAATGACTAAATACAGACATCTACTCAAACAGTCTCAGGAAATATTTTATGGACGGAAAAATTATTGTCCTGCCACATTTTAGCTGTCAAATGTAAAACAAGGATTATTGAAAGCAACTAGGCCAACCACTCAGATGTTGACATCCTAAATTTCCACATTAAAGAAAAAAATCAAATCTAGAGTAAAACAATCAAAACCATTATTTGCTTTTATAATTCTTCTAATGACCACAACATCTTAAAATGCTTGTTTCTTCAGGCTTGAATATTTACTAACAATGATTGTTCAACTCTAGCATGGATTAAGCAGTCTGAATATAATCATACGTTAACTGCAATATGCATAAAATTCAATGTGCATTTGTTGAGTCGCATCCAGTTGAATATTTGAAGAGCATATGTACAAATTCCAGAAGGATTGGAATGGACAGGAAAAATAATCCATAAAAATTAACTTGCAAGACAATATGGGCATTGTGGAGAGGGGACAACTCATTTGTATACCTGCTTCAGTGCTATTTATCCCAATATAAATGAAGAATCTATGTTTTTTTTTAACAGATTAGTTCCAGATGAAGAGGAAGGAACCACAGTGTGATGACTCACTACACGCCATTTCATTAGAGGATGGAAAAATAGATAAACCAAAAAGATAGGACCTAGTGGTAAGGGTTCCTTAATCATCCGGATTACAACATTGAAAAGCAATAGTATAATGCAGACTGGAGTACGCTCAAGATAACTTCTGTTTTAAGAAGTGGAGGATAAATACAGAAGCACATATTTAGATTTTGTTTTGGATAGTTAGGGAGGAAAAGGGATAGATTAAAGTTCTAAAGACAGAAAAGTGATCTGAAAAAATGAGATCATGGAAGAGTAGATTTCAAGGAGCTATGAAAAGAAAGAGAGAGAAAATTGTAAGGATAATGAACTTTGGAGACAGGCATGTCAATTGTCTTCTTGATCCTGCAGATACTGCCATGTAAGTGAAAAAACCCCAAACAAACAAAATCAAAACCCAAAACCAAGCCCCAAACAAACAAACAAAAAACCAAACCCACAAGCAAGCTGACAATCTTTGAAGAACACTATGCAAAAGCTATCCCATTAGAAGAAAATACAGAAATAAAATCAAAAAAAGATTATTATAATTGCCTAGGAATTTATTTACAGACCTGAAAACCTGCAAGAATTTTTACACACAACAAAATGAGGCATCTAAATGCAGATTTCCACATGCATGAAAAGTCAAGAAAAACCGGTCAAAGTCTGTTACAGTTTGGAAGGTACAAACTATTTTGTATGATTATGTGTGACGACAAAAAAAAAAACAAAAAAAAAAAAACGAAAAACCACAAAAAAACCAAACCAAAACCCAAACAACCAAAACCAACCCCAAAACATTATTTCAGTAGAAGGAACAGCAAATATTAAATTATGAAAAAATGCCAAAACTTTCAGGATTGGAAAATGCTGAAAACTTTAGAATTCTTTTTCCAGTTTTCAATAGGAAGAAAAGAACACTTCTAGGTACTTACTACTATCAAAGAACTGGGGTAAAACAACAGTAGAATTAGAATGAATTGGGTAATATTTAGGTACAAACGCATTACAGTTTGCAAAAATTCACACTACACTGCAATCATCTCTAAACCATTCGTAAACATAGTAAGGAAGAACAGAAACATATTGAAAAGACAAAACAAATTTTTTGGCCCTCTTGTGCCAACAAGGACACTGTTAAATCCCTCTAGTTTTGGGCACAACAGTTTTAGAAAGATGAAGAAAACTTCCAAATCCAGAGGAGATTAACAGAAGTTTAGACATCACAACCTGAGAAAGGATTGAATTTCATAAAAAACAAAAACAAAAAAAACCACAACACACACACAAAAAGAAATGTGCAAAAATGAAGAGATTTGATGACAGCTTCCAACAGCATAAGACAGCTAAAAAAAAAAAAAGATATGGGGCACTTGTTATCCCTATTCTTTGTGGAAAAGATATGAAGAACTTAATATGGAAGTAAGGAAGACTGATTAAATAACAGGAAATTTGTCTGACTATAAAACACTGGAACTTTCAGTGTAGCTTTTTTCTAAAAACTTATTTATTGAGAGCTCATGAACAGATGAGAGGGTAAATTATCAGACGTCTGGATCCTTGCCATAGCAATGGATTAAAGGATCTCTGAGGGTTCCTTCCAACTTCACTTTTCCCTGAGTGGAGCAAGCTGTAATGGTAAATTCTAAGTCAGGGTGGTCTAACTCAGTTTCAAGATATCCTAGCACCATGGACTCTTTCCTTGCTCGTAGCAGCAGTTGTCAAATACACAGTTCTGCAGCTGCCAGTCTGATCAGGGCCTATCTTCTGCTGGGGTTGTGGCAGCTATCCTGCTGCAGGAGGGAGAGCAAGCTATGGCAGGCAGAAGGCAACTTTCGCACTCAGGCTGCATCTACTGCTGTAGGTCTACAGCTGTCCCCCATCAATTTTAGGGAACAAGGCAGGGGAGCTGGATCTGATCTTCAAGTTGGCAGTCAAAAGTACTGAAAATAAAATCATAAATCTACTCAATTTGTATGCTGTTTTAGTTCTGCAATATAATGACCTCTAGCACTACAGACTTCAGAACTCAACTGCTTCTTATATAAAAAGTTACTGTGCCATTTTAAGAAAAATTAAATTCTCAGGTCATCCATGCAAACAGCTCTATACTATTTTCATTTAGAGAGAGTGGTCACAAGACAATTAACATTTGTAAAACTATGTGCAACTATTTGTTGAGTAGAACTCAACATATCCTGTTATTCTTACATATTTCATTTTCCAATTTAAAATGTATGAGATGGTTTTAAATAGGCATCAGTCTCCATTATCTGCTTGGTCATGCTTTTGTTATCGTAACACTACTGATAACGTGAGTAACAGATGCCCCAAAAATTATGATGGAAGTGTGATAAGCCACGTACAAGGACTGCAGGCTTACCTTATGACAACAGCAATTAACATTTTGTACCTCAGAGCCCCCATAAAAGAGTGGAATTAAAATTTTAGTTCTACGCTTCAGATAAATATAACAAAGTCACAATAGTATACATGATTTGGGACACTAATGTACTCACATTCTGTAAAACAGTTTTAGTAAATATAAAATCAACTATGTAAACTTACCTAAATCAGGCTTTAACTCAGTTGGCAAACTTAGCTTCCTGGACATCTTTGCTGAAAAGTGAAGTATATCTTTTTTTTAAAAAAGAATAAACATGATTCTGCTGGCCTTTATTTGCTTCTTCCCCAATATATAACGTATCATTCTTTACTACATTAATTGCAGTACTTAACAGGATTTCTACTAAAGCAGAGCCTCACTTCCACAAGGGAGGGGTGCAAAGTAAAACCTGGAAGATACCAAAATCCCCAAATACAGCATTATATGACTTTTGCCAAGCTTCATTTTTCCTGAGGCTTCAAGCAGAACTTGTTGGATTGGATGAATTTTGCTTTGGCTCAACCTCAAGTTTTATCTCTTCAGGTGTAAGGACAGAATACAGACTCTTGGCTTATTGCAAGAACATGCACTTAAATCTACATAAAGTTAACATCCCATCCCCTTTTCTCCTGCACCACTTCCTGATCAAACTTGAGATACTGAAAATAGAGAAAAGATGAACTGTTAATTATGCTAAAACATTAATGAACATGTGCAAAAAGTTAGTAATCTGAGATGCAACCTGCAACCTTAGAAGAACGAACATGTTACAAAGAATAATTATAAAGTCAGCAGCATACAAACACTTGCAACACTGTAAACAAAAATAGTATAATTTTGATCATATTGCTGAAGTAAAAAAATAGAACTTGAACTCATCCCTTCCTTGGAAAATTTAACATGCAGTACAATACTAACAAATGCTGCTAAAATAAAAGTCACCAGTAAACTAGTAGCCATATAGCCCTCTTCCATCTTCCTTTCAACAATTACTGGAGAAGGAATGATTTTGATGTAGCCCAACTACTACACCAGGGACAGACTGAATTCATTTCCCAGCCACAGTCTTGAATTCCAATGTATCAACTAATTCTTCACTATCACAGAAAGTTAATACTTCTCTACCTAAAATAGATATTGAGAATAGCTTCATTATTCTAGGAGTACCTTGTAATGGATACCAATCATAAAGTGGCCTGAATCTTGCTGTTTCTCTCAGCTAAAACCAGAGTTTACTCATTCTAATTATCCTTTTAACAGAAATCATTCAATTTTCTACATATCCTGAAGAACAGCATGTGATTTAAAGTTACTTCAGCTCCTTCAAAAAGTGAAATACTTCATTGCATCATCAATTATGCTTATCAATATTGCAAATCCTAGTTATCTGAATAGTTGAACAGTTTTATTCCTGTCATAAATCAGAAAAATTTGAGAGACTCCAGAAATAATCTTCTAATTTCCTTCATGTGTCAATGTTACAAAGTATATTCTATTTAAATTCAACTGAGATTTCTTACTCTCAGACTGAAATGCTAGTCACTTTAACTTATTTTAGTGCAGGCTGAAATTGAAAAGGCCAGTCTGACTACATGTATTCTACCCTCAACCTTGCATTGGCACTTGCACCTGAGGCCAAAACTCATCTATGTAAGGTTTCTGCCAAGGATTATTTGCAATAAGAACAACTCCTGTTTCAGATCAGAGCTCAGCTATACAAACAGAAAACTGTGGTAGGAAACAGCACTAGTGAGCAGGAGCCCATCTTTTTGCTGTCAGCTTGAACTTACATCAGCTTGAAAAGAGATCATGAAACCTCATTTGAAATTGTGAATTATGAATTCCTCATAAGACTTGTTTTCTGTCTTAGAGGTGTAAATCAGGGAAGCTAAGACACTGAACAAAAGCTCAAGTATGCACACAGAAAATAATGAGTTATTTTTCGCTTTTCACATCCTTCATCACATGTGAACACCAGCAATAATTAACTACCTTAGTCATCTTGAAGACCAGAATGGTCACTTTTGGCTTCTCAAATAGAAAAGTTTAACACACAAGTTTAAAAACTTGGAGAAAAAAGAAACCAAAAAGAAAACAAAAAAAACCCCCAAAAAAACTGTGGGTAATATAGCAGATAGTAAGAAGTACAGGCCAGTGGGTTGGATTCTAAGAGTCAATCTACAGTTTTAGCTTTTTACTCCTTCACTAGGCCAGCTGTGGGAACTAGGTTGAAAAGGTAAAACAAATTTGTCAGACATCATTTTCTAAGAACACTGAACTATGCCTTGTTAATAGGAAGACGGGACTCATGAAATGTTAAAAAGGATGTCATTGCTAGAAATTATGAGTTAATGCACTATGCAAAAAAAAAATACATTTCAAAACATACATTAATGTGTCAAACCCTCCAGTAGTTCAAATGTAAATAGGAAACAAGAACCAATTTAAATAGCAGCAGTGCCATCTTGTGTTCAAAGTAGGAAGTGTCTAAAGGTGCAATATGAAAACGGGAGTATTTCAACAGCTAAGCCATTTTTACTTAGCATAAAAAACCCAAACCATACTTGTATTCTGGCTTATGGTTCATGATAGTTTTGGAAAAAAACTATGCCTCAGATGAAAGACAGCAACATGCTAGACAATTTATACAACACAGACGATGAGAGAAATGAAAAAGATAGGATGGAAATCTACAAAGAGCACTCATGTCATAAGTTTTTGCATGATTTTTACACCAATTGTACAAGGTAAGCCTGATGGTGACTGCTCCTGCTGGGTGTGGCTGACTTCAAGGAGTAGCTGACATATCAGAGTTTAATACCTCTCATGGTGGTGGTGGTTGCTGCAGCATTTACAGCCAACACTATCTTTCTGCAGCTGGTGTGAGACAAGGAGACTGACTTGGGAGCTATTTTGCTCCTCCTGGCACACTGCTGCTCAAAGCAACAATGACTATTTTGCCTGAGTTTAGACCTACATTTAATAGTCCTCTAAATCAGAAAACCTAGAGTCATACACAGGCACACACATATTCTTTCTGTTGCCAATATATATAATTGAATAAGTATCATGCTAAAGCATGATATTAGAGAACTGTCCAAAAACAACATTCAGGATTCTTGGAAATTTCTCATAGGTCAAGCTTGAGGGGGCAGGTGTTAAAATATGAAAAGTTACCTCGGCATAGTGTGTTACATTGCAGGCTCAGCCAATTCAATTAAGAAAACCTGAAGGCTGAGGAATGACTGAACTATCATTAAGAAGTGGTGGCTTAAAAGTAATAGTTATATATACTGGCAGTGGGTTTTCCTGAGCCGATGCTCTACAACATATAGCACATCAGTTTGAATGCTGTAGAACGATTTCTCATCCATTCCTTAAGGAAACACTCTAAACCCTTTAAAGAATATTTAGAAAGATTTTAAAGACAAGATAAGAGTCTTGGTGTTTTGACAGATATGAGAACAGTTTACATGAAGCCTATTTCATTTCACATTTCATAAGAAATAACTAACCAGCTTATAATTTGTTAGGCATAACAGTTCCCAAATTGCTCTATATTTGACAACTACACAGAAGTGAAAGACATTACTAATTATCAAGATACTTAAAGAATTGACTATTGGACTGGTGAAAGTACAATAGAGAAATAGATCATTAATGCTGAAATCTAAGAATAATAAAGCCATTTTACATGAGAATGTAAGAAAAGATGTACTGATATACCCCCAATTAGATCAAAGTATTAAAGCCACAAAGACTAGCACTGTTTGAAAAAATTCAGGTGTGCACTTAGAATGTAAAAAATGTGAGAAACCTTGTCAATTTTAACAGTAGTGATTATAGAAGTTTGGAATTTAAGCTACTCTCCTTATCTACCAATGTTGTTTGCAATTGGTCTTAAATTTATAAACTTCACTGAAAGGGATTTGAGATGTATCCTACTGGAACAGTTATGAAAGTCTTAAGAACCTACAGTATTTTGCATACACCTTTACTAAAGCTTCTTCCAGGAACGGGTGTTACAATACCTCTTAACTTCTGACCTGATTCATAGCTATTTAATCACAAAAAAACCCCAATAACAGAACGAAACAGGAGACCAGCTGATCTTAACTGTATATAAGGCAAAACTGAAGTGTTGGTACGTGAAGCATTTACATTTTGTTTTAATTAATGCTATTGCTGCAGTATTGGATGGTTCTTTAACAATGCAAGAATCATTGTCTGATACTGTCAATAGTGATAGAAATCTGTAGAAATTAATACGTCTCTATTTAAGTTTCAATAAAGTGATTAAATTGATGATGGCTTCATAGTTCTAAATGCACGCATATTATGTTGCCACCTTACAGCCATATCACTGCAATAAAATTAGTTTGCACTCTGTAAACAGTATTCCCTTACTCAAGATCCCATGTGACAAAAAACACAGGAGTGGTATTAACAGCAACTGAAATTACCAACATAAATAATTCTTGTTGTTTCACAATCCATCTGACAGGTTGTATTTCACACACTAATAAAGAACAGAAAGAACCTGAACTGATTGCACCGTGTGTCAGTGCAAAGAGCTACAACCATGCTACATATATCAAACTTTTCCATGTGAACACAGTTGATGGTCAACAGTTTAAGTTCATACAACATGTGATGTTAATGACAGTAAGTGACACATCTTTTAAAAAACTCATTGTCCATTCACAATTGGCAATTCAGTTTAAAACAATGAAATGCAAAACCATGCATCTATTGACATCGAAAGAGGTGTTTTACTTATGTGAAAGAACTTAGAATGTAAGTTCAGGAAGAGCCATGCAGAATAAACATGCCAGACAAGGTATAGAAAACATGGCAGTGAAAGAAAACCACAATAAACCAAAACAGTTTACGGCATCAAACCACTCAAAACTAAGAGAATGCAGAGGAATAATAAAGTTTTTTTTAGCTTCCAATAAACCATGCAAATTACACAAATCACAGCATAGGATGACTGGGAGTAATTTCTGAATTACACATCAAATGCATTATAGTCTCAATTAACTCTGTGTTTAACTTATACTCCAAAGAATGTATTCCTTGCAAATAAATCTTTTGCTTTTTTAGCTGTGAAAAACATTCACAATATTTTAGTTGAAAGGTTTCAAGCTGAAACAGATGTCAATAGTTCTACAGAATTCTCATTAGCATGTTTTATTAATACTGTAACATTACTCTGAAGAGAGTGGAAAAAATAATGAAGTCACACTTAAACATACAGTGTTTTCTGCACAAGACAAGCTGTCTTAGGTTCAGAAGAGACTTCTTTGGGACAAAAGGGAAATATTACATCAATAAGCATTTATCTAACATATTTCAGCATATCTAACATATATGCCCAAGATTTAAATACTGTTTTTTTTCCCCATTAGAAGAACTGAACATAAGTTCCTAGTTAGCCTGAGTTTCCTTTAGGAGAACATATTAATCCATACTCATGTAAATGATACTTGTTTGGGTTTTTTTTAATTACAGATAAATTGCCATAATATATTAGTGACAGCCATTTGCTTTCCTAAATTATAGTCAGGTTTCCACTGTCTCAAAACTCATCTTCCCTCACATTTCTGTTACCACTGCACAGAGGGCTCAACATAGTACTGAGCAAAAGGCATAAAGAGTAGTTTAGCAAACAGTTTTACTGTATCAAGTAACTTCAACCTTTTTATGTGACAGAAATAAAATGAAATCCTCCTACAGTGATAGAAAAATGCAATAAATGAAAACAAAATGACCCATTAGCACAGTGATTCTGAAATTAAAATAACCATATCCCAGTTAAGGAAGAACAGTCCCTTTACCAAAATTAAATCACACAGCCTCTCACCTTCATTTATTTAATGACCCAGATATCAGAAGCAGAGTTAATTTCCATTCCAATCATAAAAGGGTTCAATCTACCTGCATACAACATATTCCAAATGAATTTTGTTGCCAAATTGTTAAGACACAAGTCTAGAGCTGGTAGGGTACTGTGTCACTATCGGATGCTTTAAAGTAAATACAGTCCTGGAACAGTAATGAGGTATATTTAATATATATGACCAAGTCATCTTCCATATGATTAAATGAAAACATGATACTACCTCTTATCTTGACTACAGTCATATGGAAATCCAACCATATGGCTATGAATGTAACACATCAGAAATTAAATCAGCCCCATCTTCTCAGAGAGAGTGTACCTTTGCAGAGTACTGGAATAATGTTGTGACTTGCATAGACTGAACTCTTAGTATGGATTAGAATATCACCCATCCAGAAAAGAGAGAAGTGCACTTGTAAAAATCAGAGAATTTAAACCACCCATATCTTCGATTTAAAAAATTCTTGTGCCCAAAGTACTTAGTGCAGAAGCAGCCTACAGAATTACCAATTAGCATAAAGAATGAAAAATTAATAACTTGATGCTTTGAAATTTGGATTTTATTTTGGGTGGGTTTTTTTTTGTTCTTGTTTTTGTTGTTGTTTGTTTGTTGGGGTTTTTTTTGGGTTTTTTTTTTTGCTGCTGGGTTAGTGTTGCATAGAGTAAGGCACTGGATTAGGAATAGAGCAGGTTTTTCTAATTCCTACCTATGTCATTGGCTACCATCTTGGAAAAATTTCTGCTTTTGGTCTTCACTGTAAAGAATAGTTTAATAAAAAAAGATCAATTTAAGTGTATCAAAGGATGAACTGAAGAAAAAAGAAAGATTATAGAAAAAAAAAATACTGTACCCTTTTCTATAAAATTATTCATTTTTTGATCATCATCAGAATTGTTTGGTGAACCAGAACCTATGAGTGAAGACAGAATGAAATGGATATGCAAACATACATTTCTGACACAAAAACAATGCATTAATACAAGAATTGAGTTTAAGGAAGATACAAAGATGTATGAAAATATCAAATACTGATACATGTGTTCTCTGTAGCTGTAATAGATACTAGAAAGTCCAAAGTATTTTGGTATGACAGGAATTCTATCATATTGAAAACAAATAATAATGCAAGGTACAATGTTGCACAGTGCAGCAAGTTTATTGCTAGAAATATTTACCTCATTGAATGTTTAGATTGAACAACTAGATTGCTGCCTTAACCATTAATCTAAATAAACCTAAATTACAATTTACAGAACACTGCTGTAACAAAAAAGTTTGTGGGGTTTGGTGGTTTGGTTTGTTTTTTTTTTTCATTTTTAATTTTTTGTTAATTTTTTTCCCTTTCCAACACAGTAAGTTGTTGTTGGGCCAGTGTTCAACTATTTAGCATACAGTGCAGAGTCAGTGCTGCCACTTGGGATTTTTCCGAATCCTTGATACTGAAAAAACAATTGTTGCTATAGGCCACAACTTGAGACTTAACATTGTCATGAAATTAAAACTTAGTTCAACTAAAAAATGCCAAATTTCATTGGATTTTTATATTGTGGAAGTGTAAAATAAGAATAGAATGCAAACTTTTTGGCACTTGCAAAGACAAAACCATGACAGTTTACAATTCTATACAATGCTTTAGGTCAGATAAGTGCTCTCAGAACCTAAACTTACTACCTCTTAACTTCTTTAAAAAAAACCAAAAAAACAAAACCAAAAACAAATGAAAAAGAGATGCTAAGTTACTATCTCTCTTGCATTTTCATAGTATTTTTATAGTTCTAAGTTATTAGAACTGTAGGGATACTCTCCTAATTTGCATAGGCAGGTTGTCCCTTTCACAGTCCTCTCAATTGTATAACCACCCACTGGAGGAAGTCTCAGGGAAGTTAGCTTCCAATTCTTTTCACATGGGCACTGAAAGATGGAATATTTAGATCACTTGAGCAAATGCAGACTTCAGCCCAAAAAGTGGCTGGTCTGTTTAATAGATGATACTGCAACAGTCAAAGCCAATACAGTACTCAATTGACAATCGAGTCCTCCAATCTTAGAGCTAGTAACAAGCAAACTTTTTGTGCTAGTGTATTTCCCTCTTAACTAGAGAACATCTAGACTGGAAAGCACTCATTTAAACTTGGCCTCTGTCCTGCATCTCATGCTCACCAATACTGTGCAGCCGATTTCTCCAAAATGTCCTCTCTCACCTCTCCAAAAACTGAATGCCATTTTCAAGCTTCTTTCCAGTCTTGTGCTCTTGCCCAGAAAAGGTACAAAACTTAAAGCAAACCTAAGGAATTGCAGCTCTTCTCTCTTCACAAGCACCACCAAACAAATTTCCATATCAGGGAGGTGCCTCCCTGAGGGAAGCAAGGCACATTCCAACCTCGTGGCCTCAATATTCTGCTTTATAGGGGACTGCAAGAGTGGCTTTTTCCCTCCACCTTTTGTCTATTCACTGTTTTTGGTACTTTACACTTACTTCTCTTTAGTACTGTGTGCGTACTCAAGACATTAAGGTCTTGAGAGGGGGAGGAAATGCAAATTCTTAAATTTTGGATTTTTCCATATACACCCTGACTTTCATCTTTAGGCTTGTTTTCATTGCACTGTTATTGGAAATGGTGAATTGAGTTTAACTCTACTTCAACTCCAAATTATGAAAGAAACCCTCTAACTCAAATAAAATAGTTCTTTAAGTTTTAGTGGTACCAGTTGGAAGTGGTTTGGGCTGACATTTGAGCGATGCTGGAGAAGGAGAACAAAGGATACAGATGAAGGGCTACAACTCATTAGCTGAGACTTTATAGCAGTCTATCAGAAACTAGACTTGTCCTGGACTTTTAAAGGGGTGTGAATTCAAATACCTTAGTATTAATGGAAGACCTGGGAAACCACTGACCAGTCAGTCTCACCTTTGTGCCTGGCAAAATCTTGGAGCAGATTCTACTGGAAACCATGCTAAGGCACATGAAAAACAACAAGGTGGCTGGTGACAGCCAACATAGCTTCACTAAGGGGAAATCCTGCCTGACTAATTTAGTGGCCTCCTATGATCAGGCAACAGAACTTTTGGACAGGAGCAGAGCAGTTGATGTCATCTACCTGGACTTGTGCAAAGCATTCGACACTGTCCCGCACAACATCCTTGTCTCTAAATTGGAGAAACATAAATTTGATGGATGGACCACTCAGTGGATAAAGAATTGGCTGGATGTCCACACGCAGAGAGCTGTGGTAAATGGCTCAATGTCCAGTT